CAAATACCTTATTAAATACAATAGACATATTTGTTAACTAACCGAAAAGGTCTTTAAAGCTCAATTTAAAAGCGATATCTCTGTTTCAATTAGATTTATCATTAACTCCTTCCGACAAGCACCCTACCCCTCTCCCACATTCACGGCTGTTGTGTACACTGTAACTTTCTATAACATTTAATGAAGATTCACGTGTAAAGTTTATTGACAACAAAGAAATGAAGTTTTATCTGTAAGCATTGATATAAACTCTAAACTTGTTTCGACATCCTGATTCTGTAATTACTTATATCAAATCTGAAATGTATTTTTTTAGGTAAATAAATAGAATAACTGTTAAGAAGCGTTTCTTGGAGTGAATAAATATACTTCCAATACTGGTGTCCTTGAAGATTTTGGATGGTCATCTTGTCGGGCAAAACAACACAAAGAAGTTTTTAGACTTTACTGTAGACTACAAAATGTGGATACAGATAAGCTTCTACATAAGGTGTATATCTGGTCATCTAGGAGAAGGAACTGGTGGGAAGGGCGTGTCCGCAATTTAGGAAACAAACTTAAGGTATCAAATATACTTAACACTCACGTATCTGTTAAAACCAACCTATGTATGACGAAGGTTTAGGTGTTTTATATGTAAATGCTTATGTTTACATACCATACGCTGTGTTATTTGTTTTATAAAGTTGGTTTGAGTATTTTGATTAATTATATATTATTAATACTACCCCTATTGACTGTGTTAGATAAACAGACATTGGTTATTAGTTCAAGATTCCCTCCTTTACTCGTGCTATTAGCACCTTGTAGGGTTTTACGTCGAATGAGCGAAAGGACCTATTTTATGGTTCGTATTATACAGTTTATAGTGGTGATACAGTTCTATCCTAGTTTTTATCCATCATTTAGGTTTTGAACAGTCTAAAAACGGCGTACCGCTTCAGATTGTACATCGCCCCCCGTCGGTACATATATATGTATTCATGTGCATGTGTATGTATACTTATATATATAATAGTCTGCTCGATTAGATATAAGATTGCTGTGGGGTGGAAGACGCGTCCTTTTTAAAAACGGAACTACCCGCACGTGACCAGAACACATACGTTGCAGCTTTCTTATACCAGTCGGGAATCCAATATATTTGGTATTTTTTTGTGTTTTTTTTACTAAATGTTCGTATTATGTTTGGTATTTCGATTGATTATCTTTAATTTCAACTTAACTTTTTACCCTGCGTCCATCTCTTTTTTTTAATTGACTTTCCCACCTTTTACAGGGTGTCTGATATATATGTTTCTATAAGCGATTATAGCTTAAGTCACTTCTATGTAATTTCCCTTGTTTCTAGGACGTCATATGTACCTATACAGTTGATGAAATACTGCGAATCCATTGACATCATCAGCCGGGTCCATCAGTCTCTAGACGTTTCAATCCTTGTCCCGGAACGTCCTCGTGATGGTGGGTCGACAGTGGCGATCAACTCACTGCCCGTCAATGGATGGCTTCCAGTCTTTCTCCTCCCGTCTGTTCCACAACCAGCATGATGCGCGCTCGGCAGCCTCTGCTAGCCTGCGCACTGCCGCCTTGCGTGTCTTTCCAACTAACCCCACAGCCTACAATGGAAGCGTGCCGGGAACCCTCTGCATCCGACCTCCACAGGAAAAGCCAAGTACGCCACCCTCGCTCCCTACATTGTTCCGTGAGCTCCTTATACTTGGCTCTCTTTCTCTCATTGGCTTGGTCGCACCGCTCCTCCCAGGGCACAGTCAGCTCGATGACTATAATCTGCCTGGATTCGGCAGACCATATCACCAAATCCGGACGTAGCGTTGTCTGTACGACGTCCGGAAACACCAATTTCTTCCCCAGGTCAACTCTCATCTCCCATGTCTCTGCCCCTTCCAGAATGCCAGTGTTGCCTGATGTTGCTTTCGTCTCCTTATCCCCTGCTTTTACAAACCGGATGAAGGATGGTCTGTGCTTACGAGGTGGTCTCTTCCTCTTCCTTTCCACCTCGAGAACATCTGCCAATTCCCGAGGCACCTGGTCATGTCTCCACCGGTATCGTCCCTGTGTTAGCGCTGTCTTGCATGCCGAAAGGATACGGCCCATGGTCCCACAATCTTGACATAGCTGACACTTTGGCTCTTCAACTAGTCCCCACAGATGAAGGTTCGCTGGCGATGGTAAAGTGTTGTATACCGACCGCAACAGGAACTAGATCCTCAATGGTTCATAGCGCCACAGGTCTGTCCATGTAAGTTTTCGCTCCGGCAGCTTCCATTTCGTCCATGCTCCTTGAGAGCCCATCTCCACTGCCCTTGCTTTCCTGGTCCCTTCTACTTCTCTGCGGATTTCTCCCTGTACCAGAGATCTTTTCTCCTTATCATCTGATCCTTCCCACGTCTGAAAATGGGTTGTCCCCCTGAGCAGGTTGCTCCGTTGTTTCAATTAGTAACGGAACATTATATAACGTCACTTATTCCACGTCATTATCGGAGCCACCTCGCTAAACTCAGACTCGGTTGTCTCCCCTTAATGTTGGAAACTGGACGCTACAGCAACTTGCTAGTAGAGCAAAGGAAATGCCCCTTTTGCTTAAATATAGTGGGAGGTGAGACTCGTTTCCTTTGTGACTGTCCTGTGTATAGTGATATCAGATATGATCTATTCAAAAACGCAATGAACTCCTTTAGTTATTTTAATGAACTTACTTCAACCACGGACTTAGATAACAAAACTAAACTAATTCCGTGCTTCAACTGAAAAGTTGTTTTATTTATTGCAGGATAATGAGCTTCAATTTTCACTTTCTAAAACAATTTATTTTATGATGAGACGGAGGCGGTCGCTTTTAAATGTGTAAATATACAATTGTAAATTATAATGTATCGCAATATTGATTTAACTGTAATGTGATGAAGAAAGATATGTGATTCTACTATTCTATCAGTTTTTATATAATACTCGAAGAGGATATTTTATATGCATATATGCTAGGTCTTCCCTTTTTTTTTTGCACATGATGTACATACAAATAGTTATAAGTGTCTCATAAGCCGATATCGGCTGGGCATCTTTTATAAACTCGCTGTATATATTATATTTTATGAATGATTGTTTGTGAATTTAATGATGCGTGACATTATACTAAAATATTGATTGATTGATTGATTGATTGATTGTTAACCTAGAGAGAATAAATAATAGATAAATACTACATTATCTGCCTTATTATCTATGTTCCGGGTTCCAGGTATACAGCGATATGTGTGTGTATATATACCTTTATTTTTCGCTGGGGACGGTCACAGTAATCTGCTTCATTATCTCGTCTTCTTGACCTGTCTGCCCGATATTGCTTATTTAAAAGCTGCAATTATACATAAATTACACGATCAGTTTATTCAATCCTGGTTTAATAAAATTGACACCTCATCCAGACGACGATTGTACTCTACATTTAAATATCGCTTTGGTTTAGAAGACTATTTTATACGATTAAACGCAAAAGATAGGAAAATTATCTGCAAATTTAGAACTTCAAATATTAAGCTTCCAGTAGAAACAGGAAGATGGGTGGGAATTCAAAGACAGGACAGAATATGCCCACTTTGTAATACTGGTATTGGGGACGAGTTTCATTACTTATATACTTGTAATAACGACACTTTAGTCAAAATAAGGGAAAAACATATTCCGGCCTATTTTTATACAAGTCCAAACCAACATAAAATGAAAGGAATGTTCACAATCTTTAATATGAAATTGTTAAAAAGTGTAAGCTTATTTGTTCAAAAATTAACAAAAGTACTTTAGTGTCTCTATTCTTTAAGTTTTTCTTTTGTTTGCTAGTGACATTTTTATAAGTTGAACACTGAATTATTTGTATGTAACTACACGTATATATATTTTTTATGTACTATGNGAAATCTTGAAATCTTGACTTGTTTGTGCCAAATTTGTACACAATAATCTATATAGAAAACAAGGTTATCATTGTCACTGAACCTACTGTTTGTCACAACAACTATATCCCCGGACCCTCAACACTTACTACAGAGTCGTCCGTGTTACTTTCATCGGACTTTTCTGTAAAATATATGATGGTTTATTGAGTGTCGTCGAAAAAAGACGCGCTACACAGTTTTTTGGTTAGATCAAAGCTGTTGTCTCCAGACACAGGCATGCGCACAGGTACGCGTGGGTACTTTAATCTCTGTCATGTAGAACTCGCAACTAATGGTACTTATTACATAATGGTCACTCACCACACAAATGGTGTAAATCACGGGCTAGGGAAAATACCCAAATAAATCTGTCGTGTTAATATGATAACCATTAGCTGGACCGCGTCCCTGACACCTTGCATCTTAAAGTGCTTATACTATTTTTGACATGAAGGAAAAATAAATTGTTGTTTTTCTTATGTATTTTAGACTTTCGTAATCAGACTAATTGCAACCCAAAGTGGATGTTAATTATACAAATCTGCATTGAACAAAATGCCCTTTTTGAAGGAATAAAGTGTGTTTCAAATGATTTCTATACTTAACTTGAAAAATAAAAGTTAATATATAAAATGAACCAATTCATGATAAAACACAGATTTTCATTATGAAATTACCTAGATAGCACGGATTCTCGGTCATATATTTCTGCTTTTCCTTTGATAACTGTATCACACCTAAAATGTAAATCTGGGTCAAATCCAAGTGATCTCACGTCCTCAAAGATAGATTAGGGGTATAGTGACGGTCAAACCATTTCACACATCGAGCATACTCAAATACACCGAACATAATATCACACAGGAATTTCAAAGATCACATATTTCACAATAATAACGTGATGGTGATTGTAAAACGTGTCCATAGTCTTCATCAAACTGTATCTCTCTGTCACAGAAGCTGTTCTCTATGATAATGTAAATAAACAAGGTAACTCAGTTCGTATTTTCGATTTATTTAATCATATGAGCATATATTTTTTTAAATCATGCTATAAGGTGCATCATGGGAACGTTTTTGTTGGAACAGTCTTATATACCATCCTAATGTAACAAAGATGCACTTAAATAATGAATAAAGAAATCTACTGTTGTATCGCTTGTTGCCTTCCCCTGCATCCTAATACATTTTGAACAAACCGTTTTGCTAAATTGCCATTTAACGGAAACAAAATAACGTTTCCTGCAGTTACCATCTTCGTCAGGGCGACAAACATCAATAGGAAACTGTCCGTGAATTTCTGTCAAAAGATGATGACTCGACATGTTATTTTCGGCGAGTACTTGAGAATTATGACGGAAAAACCCGAACAGTTTCCGTAAATCACGTATACTATCATTTTGTATATGTTTTCATACCAGCATCTTGATTTGATTGGTTTACGTATTTCAAGCCGTACAATGGAAATATAAATATATGAAATATCAGAACACTTATAGGAAACACGTCGATGTGACGAACAGTTTGCTCCGACGCCGTCTGTTTAATCATTGCGTTAATTATTATGCGATGTCGAAAAATTATTATGCGATGTCGAAAAACCTTCCGTGAAAATTGAAAGGTACTTGTGTAGGCATGTAAGATCGGTTAATGACTGTCATTGTTTTAGGGTCGAGGATAAGAAGATAACTCGCTCTCTTGTCCCCATCATATACTGACGTCATCAACACGCCGTCGTCCTCCTCCTTGCCCAAGGGGTTGGGGACGAACCAAGGCTCTGTAAAGTACTGGTGGGGTGCGGCATACATCAGGTCCCTGGCTTCGTCACACACATCCTTTTTGACGAGAGCCATGCGACTGAAACCCTTCCCGTTATAGTTTATCACATGACCGTAGATGTAACAGTAGTTCAAGTGGCGGTAGTTCTCGTTAATCACCGGCAATTCAAGTGCGCCTGCGCAGGGAGCTTTAGGTCCATTCTTGAATGTCTTTTTCAACACAGATTTTTTGTGAATATCAATGGTATATCGTTTGAGGATGGGCATTGATATAATATTCATCCGAGCTGTTTTATTAAAAATATATGAAAAGTCGAAATAATTAAAAGCGAAAGGATTTTTCTGTGTCGGAAGATCCAACACGATTCTACCGTCTGGTAATTCAAAAGCATTTATATGATGAGTGACGAAGACGTTCTCCGTCTGTAGTGTGTGCAGCGTTCCTGTCTTGATCTCCACAATATATATGGTGGTGTTGGCATTCCCATCCCAAACCATTCCACCCTCTACTGAACAGGTCTCCATCATTTTCATAATGCTGATGGTGTACGGAGCGGCGAACAGGATGACATAGTTTGGTGTGACAGAGAACGAATGCATGTAGTGACTTTTCTCCGTCTCCCACTCAGCCACCATCTCTGTGGTATCTAGGGACGTTATCCGGACCACGCTCATCCGGTTTTTGGTTCCAGGAATTAGACTTAGTGTTTTGAGGATTTCAAACCGTGACGACGTCCCGTACTCGGGAACTGGATGAGCAGATGACATTTCGCTCTTTTTGCCAATATTGGAAAAATTTGACGGAGGAATAAGCGGACTCCTGGATCCTAAAGTATTCAATGTCTGTAGGTCGAATTCATAGGCAAACCACAGGTCACTGATGGCGACCGTCCTGTTGGCATACCGGAATACATTAACGTTCATGTCATCCATATTGAGAAACATCCAAGCAAGTTTGTCGGCTTCATCAAAAGTTGGATTGACACCCCTGAAGGTTAAATAAGGCTCGATGTCCTTTTTCTTGATGGACGACAGGTAGGATTTCGACATTATCATTTTGGCGGAAAAAAAGGCTGATCCGTTTCCGGGAAAAGTCCAACTGTGTAGCTTTGCATACCCGTCAAAATAGTTCAAATATTTCCTCCTTCCCATTTCCAATTGCCCAGCCCCGTTTCTGACCTGAATAAAAATATCAATACGATTTGAGAATAAAACATTTCGAACGAACAGCTATGTACTACAATTCTATTATGGTTAGCCTAAGGCGTGCCACTCAGCAACAAGCATATTTTTAAAACTCCAATAATCGATACTCACTTCATTTTAATATCCCTTCCCTTCAACACTTCTATGAATTTTCCTAAATATTATTATTTATTGTTATATCTTAACGTATTTGTCCCTAATAACAGTTGTAATTCGGCATTTAATGCCGTTGTCCTCTGTCGAGAAATAATTACTTTTTCCCGGGGAAACAGCTTATTTCAACGGGCTATAGTTTCAGGATTGCATGAGACCGAATCAAAACATCACGCCCAAAATTGTGTCACAACACCACGTCATCCGAGCTAGGAGCACGAGGTGGGCGGAGCTAGAATTCGACCTCAACGCACAAACACACTCATTATCGAGTTATGAGTGTAAACGGTAATGAATCAGAGGATATATGGCTTTTGTTAGTTTTCAGGAGCTTGTAGTTTGAACTTTTGCTTGAATAAAGTGTCCCTACGGTTCCAATAAATAACATTACAGTGTGGGGTTTTCCCAAGGCGGAAGACACGTGTTCACAAACATAACGAGAAGGTCAAAACAAACATACTTTGTGGATTTGGTTTGCATCGGTACAATTATCTAGTTACAGTCTATTACCCTTTCAAAACATACTTTTGTACTTGCATTTTGGACTCAGGAAATAGTTTGCCTTTCAGTGAATTTCTTGACTATTTCCTTCGTGCAAATTCTATAACTATATTATGATACAAGAACAGCGTTCATGATCAGCCAACTTTTTATCTATTTGTATTCTGGTTAGATAGATATTTCTATATTGCATTTTGTTCTGTTTATTTTATATTCAATTAGTGGCATACCTATGAAGTTTACTTCTGGAGTAAATTACGTCCATCCTAGAGCGTTTATTGTGAAAGGATGAAGTATGATAACACGTGATCAAATAATTTGTACACATCATTGTGTAACTAAATGTGTTTTTTATGCAGATGAAGTGAGATATTTCATTTATAGATCAGAAGACGGGAAAATTACATAGAATAATAACGAGACTGTTGATAAAAATTAAACGTGACTACAGAAGTATCCACAAAACCATAATTCGAACTAAATAATCGATAAAACTCAACAAATGTACATTGGGACCATTGAAAAAGTACAAGGACAATAAGACCAGGTGTTCCAAAAGGATAAGCGTCAACGAAACGATAACGGAACACCAATGGAAAATAATAAAAAAAAATATCGATTTTTACATCACATAAGGAAAAGCATTTTTACCAAAGAGATCATGAGGTCGACCTTTTCACAGTCGGCAAATTGCAGAAAGCAGAAATATATAACATAAATATCAAGTTTTCTGTTTAACAACCATATTCCGCTTTAAAGTGTGTTTGACATTTCCGAAATAATCAGTTCATTTCAGACATGAAAGCAAATCTGTACTCAAAAGATTGTTTTCGTTACATAAGACATTTACATAAAAATATCGAAAAGAATTTTTTTATCATAACTTTTTTTCTCTGTGTTTATAAAAAAGACGAAACATATAAATAGTCAGATACTCGTTTCGTAATAAGATCCCCCCCCCCCCCCTCCCTCCCCCCAGAACACACACTAACCACTCCAGAAAGGGAACAAAAAGTAGATACTTTTCTTCGTCTTGAACGTTAGTGTTACTGTGATAAACAATCTACTCACCAATACACCACGAAGCCATTTTGGTAAAGGATAGTCGAAATGTATTGGATAATTCTCATATGATACATTGTTGGTCTTAAATATATCTTCTAATCCAGGAGCATCATCTTCTGGTAGGACCTCTTCCAAGGCAATGACGTCACGCAAGGTAAGCACGAGCGACAGAAAAAATACCAGGCGTCCCCCGAGCTTCATCCTGTTCCTCTATGTCGTTAGTGTGATACTCGACTGACTGTGATGTCAACGATATAATCTATTTGACTCTATTTTCCTTAATAGGTCGTCAACATGTATATCGTTTTACGTGATTAGCACAACCTTGTACCAGTACCAGATATCCTAGTTTTTGACATGTACAGCTTGAAAGTTTGCTATATTTTTTAATCGAAATAAATTGTCAACATACAAGGACATAATCGAAACTCACACAGTACCCGAAAGCGGAACCAGATACTGGTAACGTGTACGCAATTTCGTATGTCGATAACTCACTAACGATCTAAGACATTAGATGTATTTAATTAGTAAAGAGAGCACCTGTACAGTTTCTAACACATAGATTGTCGTAAACTGATTTATTGTCAACAGACCCGTGTGTTTTTTGTGATTTATTATACTATAGGGGAGTTCTTTCCGATATGTATTCAGGTATGAGTATGACGATATCGATTATTCAATCGTTAACTATCATGTCTTTTTTTTTTTTTTTTTTTTTTTTTTTTTNTAACGAAATAATTTTAATAATTAAACACTTCATTTACAAAACAAGATGTCTGTTTAATTCTTGAAATATTAATACTTTTGTTAAAATTATACAGAACCACTATTCTGTTCAAAAATATATTTCAAACAGCAAAAATGACACATCTAAACTGAAATTCACAAATGAATGGAGAAAATTGGAAAATCTGATCAAATCATGTCTTTGAGAGTAACATCCAAGCTTCACCAACTTCCGGTATTTATATGTCGCAGTTGAATCAGTATTAGAGATTTGCAGCGCATATCCTTTCCGTGGTAGATGTAGAATTTTGGCGGACAAACGTACAAAACAGGATTTCAAAAGATGAAGGTTAATGGGAACCATTGAAAAGTTTGATGGTCGCCATCATCCTATAGTGATTTGAAGGTCAATTTTTTACCATTTCCTGTCCCGGTATTCCTCTTTAAGGACGTAACATTACCAAAATTTAAAAAAGTAAGAATTAAATAGATACTTTCCATAATCGATAGCCTTTAACAAATATGAAGATGCGATTAATGTGGGATCCCCCTGCAGCATTGTGAATTTGCGTTTGAGCCCTCTACTTGGTGAAACAAGTAAACGCTATAGCCAAATCCTGTTACTACCAGATCAGGAACATCGGCTGTATTCGGCAGTTTCTAACTGCAGATGCATGCAAGAACTTGGTGCATTCACTTGTTACCTCTCTGTTGGATTATGGTAACGCCCTGCTCTGTGGTATGTCTGACAAACTAACTCCCCGTCTGCAGAGGGTCCAGAACACTGCAGCACGGCTAGTTACTCGTACTCGAAAGAGAGAGCACAACACACCTGCGCACTTGTTACCTGTACGATACAGGTCGCAGTACAAAATTCTGGTATACACATACAAGGCACTGAATGGAACAGCTCCTCAGTAGTTACCCTGTATCAGCCGTCAAGATCACTGCGGTCGGAGTCAGAATCTTTGTTGTGTGTCTCAAAATCTCGTACAGTGACCTACGGAAACAGATGCTTTGGGAGGGTTTCGGCTACGTTGTGGAATAGCTTGCCATCTGCTATTAGGAAGTCAAATACCCTGGCAAAGTTCAAGAGGGACATAAAAACTCACCTTTTCACGTCTGTATTTTAGAATCTTTGCAAAGACGTCATGTAAATACCACCCTTTTATTTGTTCAATTATGTGCACATTGTTTGTTAAATGTATTAAAGTGATTGCAAGCCTTTGTTGTTTGTTTTATAACCATTACTATTATCCATATGTTGTAAAGCGCCTTAGAGTAATTTTACAAATTATATAGGGCGCTATATAAATGCTGTATATAAATGCTGTATATATTATATATATTGGTGACACAAAAGCGACCAAAATAAATCATCCGCTATAATCTATATGACCTTGTCTTTAATTAAGTCCGACTGAACAAACGTGTAGCTATGAGTCCGGGGACCCTTGGACTGTCCCTGAGAGAAGATTAGATTGGAGAGGGTAGGATAACCAAACTAGGCTGTCATATCTACATGACGTTGTCAATTGTAAAGCATAGGTGGCAGAGTACAGTAGAAATGGCTTGACCCTAAAAATAAAGGGCATGTCTCGGATAAACATGGATAGCGGATTCATCCTGCACAACACACCAACATATATATATATATATTTATAAACTACATTTTGAATAGGTGTTTTTTAGAAGAACATTTTTTTTTCTTCAAAAAGTGATTTCCCCAGATTTGGGACTTCTGAAAACCATGGTTACCACATCAAAAAACACCAAAATATGCAAAAAATCATGATTTTTAACCCAGAATTTGACCCCCGCAAGTAGAATTGTTTTTCTTAAAACCTGTCTGAAATTAAATATTGCCTACTCGGTAACAGAAATACTCACGTTTTAGCATAGGTCATTCCGGTGGATTTTTCACAATATAGACTACATGAAAAGCTAGCTTTTGTTGTGTAGACACAGATTTGTAAATGCCCAAAATTGTAGTCTCAAACCAAATTCGATTTTTTTTTTGAAAAAATTATGAAGCCCACATAGTCCACTTCATCATGTATATGCCAATTTTAGTGCTGATTTTTTTTTTAAATTTTGATACATGTTATATTACAGGGGTTATTCATTGTATAAAAATATCCCCCATGGCCACCGTACGCTACTGTACTCTGCTACCATAACGTACATTGTACAATACTCATACATTAGATCGATTACAATCTTAACGTTCATAGTACCATCGCCATATATCAGGTCAATTACGATCATAATGTACATGTACATTGATCTTAGATATGCGCCGTACATGGACGAAGGACTATGCAAAATTAAGCTATTCTATCCACAAAGTAAATTACGAAGGAATCCAATGTTTTTGACAAAAACTGGCGTAAAGCAGGTCTTATATGCTCGTATAAACATAGACACGTGTTCAATTACACTGATAACGTACATAGTACAGTATGATGGTTGCTGATACTAGATGTAAAGAAAAAACCTAGTGACGGACTCAGACTGAATGATATATTCACAACACTAACAGACTGCCGAAATCCTGGTACAAAGCACTGCTGTAGGGAACAGTTCCTATACCAACGCTTGAAAATTCATACTAGAGAGCCTCACCATCATCAAGTTTAACAACACTGACAGACCATGAACGAATGCCGCTGAAACTCTTGGGGGGAACTTCACTAGTAACACCGATGTCACATTTGATTTTGGTTCACATATGTCAATCAAAGCTGCAACATTCCTTTTCTGAATTGAATTATATTAATCCTTACATAACTGTTATTAGCAATTGAATGCAGAACGGAAAAGAGAATATTTTCAACTAAAGTCCGGAGTATAGGTGGTTGTATACAAAATTATAGGTGATTGTATATAAAATTACAGGTGGTTGTATATAAAATTATAGGTGGTTGTATATAAAATCAAGGTGGTTGTATATAAAATTATAGGTGGTTGTATATAAAATCAAGGTGGTTGTATATACAATTATAGGTGGTTGTATATAAACTTTAAGGTGTTTGTATATGAAATTATAGGTGGTTGTATATAAATTATAGGTGGTTGTATATAAAATTACAGGTGGTTGTATATAAAATTATAGGTGGTTGTATATGAAATTATAGGTGGTTGTATATGAAATTATAGGTGGTTGTATATTATACAATTATGGACTTTTGTGCTGGTGAATATGATGTAATATGAACATGAAAGAGTGATATTAACAGAGGCGAAGCCGAGGTCAATATCACTTTTCAGGTTCATATCACATCATTTTTACCAGCACAAAAGCCCATAACTGTTTTATTATATGCTTCAACAATAAAATAAAACAAAACTAAACTAAAGGTTCTGATTTTCGTACGCGAGCCTCCGTGTAAAATTTAGCCAGGTTTGAATCAACAGTTCAGCATCGTAGCTTTCGAAGGCATCGTTTAGGTTCTTTTTCTTAAGATCAGCATGGAGGACATGCACATGGCTTTTTTTATGTCAACAGCATCTTTATTCTCGAATAGTTTTGGTAATTTTCTGATGTAACGGAGGAGCAACGTTCGCCAGCAGCCATCTTCTATTGTCGTCTGACAGGTCGCGTTCCGGTCTAACTGCGCTTGCGCTACGACAGGTTCCGGGGAAGTTCCATATATGCTATATTTAGAAATTGATATTCACCGGATAACCAGTTTCCATGAGTTTTTGAGGACTGGTCATGTGTAGAGGATCCGACCAATGTGATTGCGAGAAATGTTCATGCATATAATAAAGAATTATAGGTGGTTGTATATAAAATTATAGATGGTTGTATATAAAATTATAGGTTGTTGTATATGAAATTATAGGTGGTTGTATATAAAATTATAGGTGATTGTATATAAATATATAGGTGGTTGTATATAAAATTATAGGTGATTATATATTAAACGGTCTGAATATGAATGTTTAGGTGTTAGTTGTTGAGATATACACTAGTTCAAACAAATCGGTGTATTTCGCCAATGTCCAATATCAGATTAAGAGTTTTGTAGTTGTACTCTTCGTCAACCGTGTGTGTAGCAAATTCAAAGACGTACGATAGAAACAAGTCAGTTTCTTTTATTTTCCAGTATTAACAGAAAACAATCCCATTCCCGTTATAGTTATATAACAAAGCATACTTGGAATATAGAAACATTTGAAAAGTAACTGTAGATTACAATTACAATAAGACGGATGAACTAATATATAATTTATCAAAAAGAAATGTCATTTGAAAAAGTGTTTATTAAGCAATGATGAATAAATTACTGACGCTTTCCTGCAGTCATTTAAAAGTAAAAAAACTCTCCTATAAAGTAAGCGACATACAATTTTGGATTTCTGCCTGAAATAATATGTAATTCTCTCATTATCAGTATTACTTAGACTTTCTGGAGCCCATCATACCTTACAAAGTAGTAAGATGACATATCTGGTGGACTTGAATAAGATCCTGAGGTTAGCCGTA